CCAGATGTCTCAAGAAAAGCAGTAGTGAGAAGTGTAGGTTGGTGAAAGCATAAGGTTAGCTCTCACAGCATGTTACCATAGTAAGACTAAAGGATGCCTGCATGCAAGGTTAGCTCTGATGGGTCAGACCAAAGGCCTGCTTCAGCACTTTATTTTTCATAGTGGCCAAACACATAGTGGTCTATGGGAAGCCCACATACAGCACATGACAGAAATAACCTTCTGTCATAGCCATGATAACTCTGATCATATGACCATGATAAAATAGCCATGGATAACTTTATGTCTTCAATCCCTCTTTGAAGCCACCAAAAACAATACCTATTATCATACTTTAAAAAACCATTCTGTTGTAGAGTGCTGGAACTCAGGAGACCTAGTTTCCAACCCGCAGTTGGCCATGAAAACTCATTGGTGTGTGTGTGCCATTGATAAAATTACTCCTTAAATATTTCACATAACTTGAAACTCCATTAGAGTTTACAATAAATTGGATGGAACTTGATGTAACATAACAGAGTGTATCTTGTGGTGCCAGAATCTACAACCTAACTTTACATTACATGAAACATTTCTTTTTATATGTCCTGAATCTTGTACTGTTCAGCTTCATACATGATATTGGGCTTTCCCCCCCTGTAAAACCAAAAATTATTCATTTTCTCTGCATTAAACATCATTTTAAAAATATGTCACATCATTTCTCCCTTTCTCACTGTTTTTCTAAACTCCCAAATATTGTAAAATTGCTCTGCAGGGGAATTGCTCCAGCTCCCTAGTAATTTTGTTTTCTCTTTCCATCCTTTTTTTCCAACTCTAAACACATTTTTGCAATATCCAGAACTGTACAAAATATTCCATGTATAGTTCCCATAAGTTCTGCGTCAAGGTATTGGCAGTTTTAATTTCAACCCCTTTCTAGTAATCCTTGACACTCAATCTGCTTTATTGCATAATTGCTGTTTCCTATGCTGAAAATCTCACTGAGCAATCCACTATAACCCTGAGACTCCTTCAACATGCATTACTTTTCACTTAATTTCATTCAAGCATAATTGCCAACGCCAATGTATTGTTCAGCACCTAGTGTACAGCATTTTACATTTTCCTTTTGTTGTTACCACCTCAAATATTTTGCATTGTTCACAACCTTGGCCACTATAAGTACTGTAACTAAGTAGCAAAAAGTAACATGGAACCTGCCTACATAAACAGCATGCAGACTGCCAAGTGTATTATGCTGTGTATTTACATACATTTACAGCTTTTACAAGCAACTTCCTGTGCATTGGTGCCTTCCCCACTAAGCCTGAAACAGCACTTCAAAAAGTCATAATATTCCCAAAGCCATGAAGTTTGATGGCTAGCTACTCTATGTGCCACATTTATTATTTGTGGCAGCAATGTACGTGGCCCTGTTCCTACTAATCTTGAACATTATCATGAAATCACACAGTGGGAGTAAGCTGTTGTTGAGATAACTGGGTTCCATTAGTAAGCACGTGATTGGCAGGATGATAAAGTCTTTTCCCTCACAGGTCAGCTACTTTTTAAAAAGAGGGCAATCCTCCTGATCCATCTTTTAGCTACCGTCTCTCACTGAGTCCCAATTCTCTTGCCTTTTAGCTTTGATACGGTTCAAGCTTTCCCCCTTGTATCAGCCCCTACCTGTCATCAGCTCTTCTGCACTGAACAGCAAATATCAGGAGTTTGACCTCGGGGCACAGTCCGGGTGGGCAGGTAAAACCTGACCACTGGACTCACTTCCTTATCTTTCATATCCTGCAATTCATGAAACAGTATCAGATTCAAACTAAAAAACAGAAGCATGACCTCTTATGAGAACTTTCTGAAAAAAGGCTCTGTTGCCTTTCTAAGTATTCTTGAAAAGAACTGTCATCTGCCCTATTGAGAAAGAAATGGATCATAAGTAAAGAAGGAGGGAAGGTGTTAAATCCCTAATAAAAGCTAAATATTACTTTCTGTAAGGATTTGAGTCACTGCAATTAATTCCTAACTAGACAATGAAGAAAAGGGGCCTAATTGCTATAATAAATTATGCATCCATACATTAAATTAAATGTATGCAAATATTTACTGACTGAATATCCAGATAGCAATGTATTTTTTAATACATGCAACGGATACTGAAAACTCTGAACAGATATGTAAAACACTAAAGAGTATTATGTCATGCTTAAGACAGAAACAGTGCCTTCAGTTTCCCCATATGGGAAATGATTGTGATCTTCCATGTAAGTAGTTTTGAAAATGTAAAATAACTGAGAACTTAGCTATGTATTTTCTACAGCAGGCAACAGAGCTGCAAGTGTATCTCAAGGGAAGAAAACTATGAATTTTCTCCTTGTTCCTTGCCACCCTAGGATTGCAGGATAAATATGATCAAGCATAACTTTTATTTTTTTAAAAAAGGTTTAGGAGAGATTTTAATACTTTACTTTTATTGCTGTTGCATTTTAGCTCTAGCTTAAAGAGATATTAAAAGTTACAGCATACATCACTCAGCAAGAATTAAAGAATTCAATGTCATAGAGTCAGTATCAGAGATATTAGTATATTCAAACTGTAACAGCATTTGACTAATACCATTGATTGTAAAAACACAAAAGCATAAAATTCATTTGACTGTCTTGCTGGACCAAGTTATGTTTACACTGGCATAACCTGGATCAGGCATCAGAAATATTTAATTTAAAATAAAGGAAAGCTTCGGTTCCGAAACTCTCCAGGGCTCCCTTTTGCTCTGGGGAAGCCTTTGGGAGCCTTGGGATGAGACAGGTGAACCTTTAATATATTAAAAAAATACTTCTGTATCATGACCAGCAGTCCCTATCCTGATGGCAGTGATTCAATTATGATTTTGACTATTAAAGGCTCCTCTCCTGTGTCCCAAGGTTTCTAAAGGCAAAATTTACTAACTAAAGATGTCTCTGCATACCTGCGCAATTTAAGGATACAGAAACTCCTGTGGCATTTATTGGCAATCTTGTTTCATTGCCATGGTGATAGGTATAGGATTACTGAACTGACTACTAACATATACAGTACAAGTTTCAAGGAATTGCAGTGAGTGAAGTAAGCATATCTACAACTGGGGAACCCCAAGTCACCACTGCAACAGCATGATACTGCTGAGTTCTACACTTAGGCAAGCAACATCTTGCTCCCAGCCTCAATCCTTGACATCTTGTGGTGGGGCTAAGAAAGAATCCTGCCTAAAACCCTGAAGATATGTTGTTAATTAGTGGCAATTTCTGAGATAGGTGGATCAATGGTCTGAATTGGCAGAAGGCTGTTTGTTTAGCTTTGGAAATCTTGGATTACAGCAGATTGAGATTTAATGAGGGAGACATACATCTGTTTGCTTTATGAAAGTAATAATCAGTTATTAAAAATGAACCTGTGAAACTGAATGAGCAAAAGAATGTCAAGACTATGTTTATATTAAGTGCCTTGAAAAATTGCTTTCCATTCTAAACAAATTAAATAAAAGTGTGCAACATGGAGAATAAGACTGTATTTTCCTTCCAATCCTAATTAATTTCTCCAGCAGCAACTGACTTAACACTTTATTAGGATCTAGAACACAAACTCAAAATGTGTCTTTAAAGAAGGTATAACTGAATGTGTAAAAAAAGCAGATAAATAAGCAATATATCCAAAATAAAAAATAGCATAAATGTGGATCAATTTATTTCTGAGATGTATGTTATCTATTTGCAAAGGAAGACCTTGGGATATCACAAAGCAGGTCCTGAAATACACAATATTTCTAGCTTTATTGCCACAAAGTTTAATTCAAACCTGTTTCTTGGCAGCAGAATATGTTCTAAAATCCAAATGCTAGCTCATCTACAGTAGACCCACTGAATCAACTCTTGAAGAGCAAATCAACACTTACATAAATCCCATTGATTCAATGTGTCAGCTCTAGCTGGGATTACCAAATGGATTCAGGCCTGCTATTTAACTGAACAGCAAAGTCAGCCAGCCATTGTAGAAGGAACAAAAACAGCAGCTACAAACTTTAGACAATATAGTGGTCCCTTGCTTTACGATTACCTAGTTAAATGACGAAATCGATTCACGACAATGTTTTTGCAATCACAATAGCGATGTTTCAAAGGGCGATTTTCGTTTGACGATGATCGGTTCCCTGCTTCGGGAACCTATTCTTCGCATTACGACGATCTAAAAATAGTTGATTGTCGGGTTTCAAAATGGCCACCCACTGTGCAAAATGACTCCCCACTGTTTTTAGGAGTGATTTTTCACTAAACAGGGATCGGAAAATGGCCACGCTATGGAGGATCTTTGCTGGACGCTGAGGCATTTTACCCATTGGAACGCATTGAACCGGTTTTCAATGCGTTTCAATGGTTTTTTTTCCTCACTTGACGATGATTTTGCTCTACAGCGATTTCGCTGGAATGGATTATCCTCGTCAAGCGAGGCACCACTGTATGTAGAGAAATCTACAGATAATACTATCTCTAATGAGACTAAAGCACAAAGATAGAAATAATAATTTCAGATGGAAACCATACGAGAGTACAGTGTAGCCAACATACTTCTCTACAGTCATAATATTGTAGATAATGATAACAGCTGTCTTATACTTTGCCAAAGAAACATCAATATAACAGAGAATAGGATGAATATCGCATGCTGAAAATCTAGCTGTACAGTAGTTCTATTCCAAGGACACTGTAGATAATTTGGGGCTCTGCTCTGCGACCAGAGCTTTTCCTAGCCTTCTGTTCTGTTGCAGCACCTTGCTTCCCTCCCACTGCAGCCCCATGGAGGACTGTAGACCTTCTCGAGAAGCATGTGATGCAATTGTAGGAGGAGTCAACAAGTCTGCACATGCACACATCAGTGCCTTCTGTTAGCACAGAGGACTGTTTAGACATTAGGCTATGAATAAAAAAAATTGTAATAATAAAACCATGATAATTAATAATTAAATAACATCTTACCTGACTGAGGTCAATGAATGCTAACTGTAAGGTTTCTCCATGGAATCCAGGCACAGGCTCAGAACTGGCAAATACTGCAAAGTAAGAAAACAATTAAAAGGTGGAGTTAATTTTAATCCAAAGTCCCACATCAATTTATTTTCATTATAATATCGAATAACATTAATAAAAAAAACTAGAAAGGAGCATGAGACTTACAGTCAGAAGTAGAAAGGTCAAAGCAATAGTGTTAGAGTGGGGTTTAAAATGTTATCCATGCCTTTGATAAGTTTTTGGCAATGGCATTTGAAACTTTCAAACAGATTCTAACAGAAAAAGACTGAAATGTGCTAAAACGCCCACTATATATTTATTAAAACACAGCTCTCTAAAATACTAGAACCTTAGTCATCAATACTTTCAACCATACTATTAACGTAAATTGCACAATAACATTTTATTCTTGGGACAGTTACATCCAGTTGATTTTTCTTCTCTACATAAATAATACAGATTCCAAAAGTAAATCATACAGTAGCTAAATTATTAACATTCAGGTTATATTACAGACCATCAGAACAATGAATGTCTTAGGGAAACAAGATACAACATGACAATGTTTGTGTATATGTCATAGCTCTAAATAATGCCATCTGCAGATTTCCAACACTTTACAGTACATCCACAAGATACATACCAAGTATTAGGATTTCGATATTACACTATCAATGATAATACATTTGACAGAAAGTATTGAGACCTGACAACAAGCATTGGCTTTATTTAATCAATACAGATTTTTTATTGATAGGTCTCTTTTCCCAATCACACTTCTTCACCTAAATATTCTGACTGGGTATGATCTATTCCAGAATGCAAGACCTCATTATGGCACAACCAAACAATATTTAACCTTCTCCTCTAATCTGCATATTTGCTCAGTGTACTGGGCCATTTCTTGGACAAATTACTCATCAAACACTGAAGCTGAAAAAAGTAACAAAATCATGACAGTTACTTTACATGAGCCTATGGGTTTGTAAGCAGCTAATAAGAGACTGGTTCTTTTCCTCTGAACATAAAAAATGCATGGAGCATATTTTTAGATGAGTGAGTTTCAAACATAGTTTTCCACACAACATAAATAAATGGGTTTCACAAAAGACAGCTCCAAAGTCCGATGGTGCACAGTTTGGTTCCAAAGGAAAAAGAAAGGTTACTTACCTGTAACGATGGTTCTTCAAGTGGTCATTCTGTGAATTCACACAATCCCGCCCGGCCTCCCCTCTGTCTGTCTGTCACTGGCATCTCTCTGACTCGAGGGCCTATGGCGGACAAATGGAACTGAGGGACGGTTAGGCTGGGCGTGCGCAGTAGGGGTAGTCCTAAACATTGTTACTTTTCTCTTGCAGCTAGAAAACGTTCCGAGAGGCCCAACGCTGGCGCTGGTATTAACCCTTTGTGTGCATTCACAGAAGACCACGATGAAGAACACTACATTATGATTTTTAGGATTTGCATAAGCAAATAGATGAAAAACTGTATTATGCCACTAGAACTAGTCTTTTCAGTAATGGAATGTGCTTTGTGGATGGTCTTTCCAAAGAAGCTTTATACTTTCAGTGAATACTTTCCAGGTTGCCTTGCTTACTAAGAAACCCCAACACACCTGCCATTCAAATCAGATAAATTGTAAAGGACATTATGTTCTGCATCCAGTTTCATAATCAGGTCACATGGCATACCAAGTAATTGGCCAAGTCTGCTGGCCTTATTATCAACTTTAGAGATTTGATAGTACATTGCAAAATACATGGATAACCCGCCTTGGGATGTATATCACTGTAAAAGGTTAGTAACAAAGAGACCTTCAGATAAACTTCCAAACTATTTCATGTCTTTATAATAAGGAACTCCCAAGATCTTCTGGAAGAATTTTAAAATCTGTCCTACACATAGTACAATATATTAGGCTGCCAAATATATCCATACTAAAACCCAAAATTTGGTATCCTGTTTCTTGAGTGTCTATTAATTAGGTCTCTTTCTTCCAGTCACTTTGATGGGCATTTGACTAGAATATAATGATGGAATTAAAAGGAAGCCAGAATATTGAAGATGAATTCAAGGTTAAGAAAAGTTTCAACCATATACGATAATGCTCAAGTAGAGTCCTACACCATCTTAAAATCTAGCAATTTATTATTGTTATTTTGCCATCAAATCGCTCCTGACCTATGGCGACCTTATGGATGTGTATTCTCCAAAATGTCCTGCAATTTATCATAACATGAGCTTTTGCTACATCCTAGTACATTGGGTACAATTTTTTTTTTGCAATTGATCCTATCATGTATAGTACAAAGATTTCACAGTACCAACAGTATATGGTACTGTTATAGCCAATAATTCAAAACTGTCAATGAACATAAAAGCCATAGCACAGTGACAGGGACATAAATTATATCCTACACACTGTTTTCTAGAAGGTGACCTTGATATAATTTATGAAACAAATGTCAAAATCATACCAGATTCAGAAGGCCTCAAGACAGGTTGTGGCTTCAATCAACAGGATCAGACATGATCAAAATCCACAAGTTAGTTCTAATATTAAGCGACAAAACTTCCCATCCTCCTTCCTCCTTATCACTTTATTTATAAAACCATCCTAAATATATATTCATAAAAACAGCTGCTAAAGATCTACACACACCACTTTTAAGGTTGAACCTCAGTTTGGGTTTACCTTTTTATTAAATGTGAGCCAATGTTATGGTCACAGTGTACCCTTCTATTTTACTTTTTCTGTTTTTTTGAATAGCATAAATGATAGGCCCAAAATTATATTCTTGTATAATAAAATTATAATTAAATGATTGGAAGAAGCTCAGAACCATTATTTAATCCAGAGCTCAGGTCAAGATAACCTACAGATAAAAGTCTCCAACAGTGGCCCATCCTATTAGTTACTTTACAAGTTTACTTTATGACTTTCCTGTTGCCTCAGCAGGCAATTCTGTCAAAGCCCTGGTTGATGGGGAAATGGCCAAGGCTGTTGACACAATCACACCTAAGCATCCCCTCCCATGAAATAGAGTAAAACTGCCCCCCCCCGGTTTACTGGGGGGCTAGTAGTGATGAAATTAGTGGGACAGACACTGGAGCAACAATGGCAAAAGACTCAGAATAAATCTGACTGAACATGGGCTAGAGACCACTGGAAGGCCTATTCGGTGGCAGTGGTAGCAGAAGAGTTGCCCAACACAGCTTGTACGAGGGGTCAAGGGCCGATTATATGACAGTCCCCAGAAAGAGAACGCAGACCACACTGTAGCTTGCTGTGAAGAATCTGAACAGCACTTTGTAGTCAAAATCATTTGGATCTACTCTGACTTAGATGCTGTTGTTAATACAGGTCCTGTGGAAGTAACAATAGCCCCTGCTTGTCTTGAGCTAAGGATAAGTTTCAGTTTTTACAGCCTGATGATACAGACAGGACCCTTAGAGATGTGAAGGCTACCATTTGTCTGCTGCACCCTTGTCCTTCCTGGCTTTTAATAGCTGCCAGGGAAGGACTGGCCAAGGGGATCTGAGAAGTAGTGAATGCCTCCTTGTAGCAGTGTAGGATCCCAGCATGCTTAAAGGAGGCACTAGTAAGACCATTGTTTTTTTTAAAAAGTCCTTGGACCCCACAGTATTGGATAATTATACCAGCCAGTCTCTAATATGCATTCTTTGGCAAGGTGTGGAATGGGTTGTGGCTTTTCAGCTCCAGGGGTTAATGAATAAGATAAATTACCTACCTTATTTCCCCAGACCTAACCAGCAGCAGCTTTTGATACTATCAACCATGGCATCCTTCTGGGTTGTCTCTCTGGAATGGGACTTGGAGGCACTGTTTTACAGTGACTCCAGTCTTTCTTGGAAAGAAGAACCTAGAGGGTGGTGCTAAGGGGCTCCTGTTTGACACTCTGGCCTGTGGTATCCCTCTGTGGTGCCACTCTGGGGCTACTGTTTGACACAATTGGCCTGTGGTGTGCTTCAGGTTTCTGTTTTGTCCCCTGTGCCAGGGATGGTGAACCTATGGCACACGTGCCACAGCTGGCATACAGACCCCTCTCTGTGGGCACACGAGCCATAAGTCACCATAGAGAAATACTTACCTGTCCTTCGATCCCATATTTTGGCACTCCCCTCTGTTGGTGCAGTGGTCCAGCAGAGGGGTGCAATGGCGACCATTACCAGTCTAGCCCAATGGGGGATTGGAGGACCAGTAAGTATTTCTTTGTTAATACCGCCCATAGGAAAAAACACAAGCATTTAACTCTTGCAGTGCAGGATCAGTTGCTTTCTCTAAACTAAAACCACACCATTCAGGTTTTAATTGCAGTATTGGCACTTCAAAATAAATAAGTTGATTTTGTTTTGCAGTTTGGGCACTCAAGCTCAAAAAAGTTCATCACTGCCCTATGCTATTTAACATGTACATGAAACCACTGGGGAAGGCTGCCCAGAGTTTTGGAGTTTGGTGGCAACAATATGTAAGTGACACCCAGCTCTATTTCTTCTTTCCATCTAAATCCAAGGAAGCTGTTTCAGTTCCAAATCAGTGTCTGGTCACAGTAATGGACTGGATTAAGGTGAATAAACTGAAGCTTAATCCAGACAAGACAAAGCTGTTCCTGGTCAATTGAAAAGCAGTTCAAGGAATAGGGTTTCAGCCTGTGCTGGATGGTTACACTCCCTCTGAAAACACAGGTGCTCAGCTTGGGGTGCTCCTGGATTCATTTCTGAACCTGGAAGTCCAGGTTTCAGCGGTGACCAGGAGCATCTTTGCATAGTTAAAACTAGCATCAGCTGCACCTGTTTCTTGGGAAGTCTGATCTGGCCACTCTGACACATGACCTAGTTATATCTCGGCTGGATTATTGTAACACGCTCTGTGTGGGACTGCTTTTGGAAATAGTTTGGAAACTCCATTGGTTCCAAAATACTGTAGCCCATTTGCTAATTGAATCTGGTTACAGGGAACATACCAGTCCCCTGTCATAGCAGTTCCACTGGCTGCTAATCCATTTCCAGGCACAATCCAAAGTGCTACCTTTAACCTATAAAACCCTAAATGGCTTCGGTTCAAGCTATCTAAAAGACCACATCTCCCTCTATGAGCCTGCTCAGGAATTAGGACCATCAGGGAGGCCTTTCTCTCAGTCCCAGCACCCTCACAAGCATGCTATGGGGTGTTCTGTGTTGCTGCTCCCAGACTCTGGAAGTCCTTCCCACAGGAAGCTAGGCTGGTCCTATCTTTGCTGTCCTTCTGTACGTGGGCAAATACCATATTTTTCGCACCATAAGACACACTTTTTCCCCACAAAACAGGGGGGTGGAAAGTCTGTGCGTCTTATGGAGCGAAGAAAACAGATTATATTTTCCTGTTTTCTTCTCCTAAAAAATTGGTGCGTCTTATGGAAAGGTGCGTCTTATGGAGCAAAAAATACGGTACCTATCTCTTCAGGAAGGCCTCTTTTTAGTGACTGGCAGTCCGAGAAGTATTTTTTTTAATGGATTGTTGTGCTCTGTTGCTTTTAAATGTGTTTTTAATAGTGATTTTATTTATCATATTTAATATAATATTTGTTAGCTCTTTTTAACTATTTGCATACTTACCATTTTTTAGCTTTTAAGTATTGTCTTTTTAATTATGTATGCCACCTTGGGTTCTTTCAAGGGGAAAGGTAGGGTGAAATAAATAAAAATGGACTAGTTTAATAATTCATAATGAAAATGTCTATGAGAGATTATAAGAAAAAGTAAGTAAGATATACCATGTTTCCCCAAAAAGAAGAGAGGGTCTTATATTAATTTTTGCTTCAAAAAACGCATTAGGCATTTTCAGGGGATTTTTTTTTTCATGTACAACAATCTACATTTATTCAAATACAGTCATGCCATCTTCTTCTGGTTGCTGCACAATGGTGGAGGGCGGGGTTTCACTTAACTGTGAAACTTTTTGGAGTAGGGTTTATATTACGAGCATCCTGAAAAATCATACGGGCTTAGGTCTTATTTTCAGGGAAACAGGGTAATTGTCCATAGGGTGAGGGGTGCATTAGTATTTTCTTTTAATTTATTAGGCATGTTTATGTGCTAATAATATATGTGTTTTGTTTTGTATTGTGAAAATTTAAAAATATATACATCCCAATATGATACATATTTTATTCTCTACTACCTTTCCTTTCAGGACATTCCAAAGCAGTTTATAATATCACATATTATAAATATCACATATGCCACCTATTCTGCCATCTCTGCTAATGAAGATTAAATCCCTCAACTTTAATATATAATTTAGAATCTCATACTTACATTCACACTGTATGACGTCTAAATTAAACTGCTGAATGGCTCCCATGCTTATTTGTTTTAAGTCATTATCCAACAGCATCTGCATTAAGGAGTTTGACAAGTGTTGGCACGCTGACATACAAGCAGTTTGGGCTACTTTTCCCTATTTAAAAAGAAAAGAAAAGAAAAGAAACTGTAAGAAACAAGTAACATCACTGTAAGAATGAGCACTCTTTCCCAATATTTAATAATCTCAAGACAGACAGTTAATGAACACTTAATGCTCCCACTATCCAGTTAAAATTAGAAGTCTCTTTTAGAGCAACACTGTCCTCTAGAAACTTGATCCAATAACCATGTTCATTTATGCTATTTGGCAAGATTTAGGTATCATAGATACATATTCCTTTTAAAATACTCATGAATACAGCAAAGATAGAGTTAAAACTAACATGTTATATCTCTACCTCTATCTCTGTCTTCAGCACCACAAATCAGAAAAGAGGTGTACAGGGGAAAAAACCTCACTTGTTCTTTATTGGCTATTTATTCTTAACACATACATCCTAGAATGCCATACACTTTTTGTTATTAATATTCAAATATCTTCCTCCTTGTCTATGCACTCTCTCTTTATATATGGGGAAATATATATGCAGAAAAATCAGATATTCACTTAATTACATGCAGCCTTTTACTATTCACAACATACATAAAGGTCCAAAGGCACACACTTCAATGCCAGTGCAAACAGCACAAATGCCACTACCAACAACTGCTAAAAGCAGGTTAGACCTAGCTGCCACATGCTAACATGTCATCTTTTACAAGTTTCTAGAGAACCAAGAACCATTAATTTAAAATGGAATTTATTTCCCCAAACCAGATCATAACCTAAATGCAGTAACTCAAACATAATCTGAAAAAATATTTCTAAGAGTGTTATAACTCTCAGAAATCCTGTGCATGTTTACTTAGAAGTAAATCCCATTATTCAATGGTGTTTACTCATAATAATGGCAAACTGAACTACAGCTTAGAGTGATATCCTATACCCCCTTACGTGGGAGTGAACAACACTGAACACAGAGAGACCTACTTCAGAGTAAACAAGATTGTTTGACTGTAGAATGATGACATCAGTCAACTGTATTATATACTCATCAAACAGAAAATACAAGGTTTCAGAAAAAGAGATTTGGCAACAGCTAACAGAAGATTATTTTCTTGGTCTGTATGAACATAGTAAGCTAGTAATTATGAAGACAAAGTAGTGAAGTTGGTGATGACTTCAGAAACATAAGTTGCTTAACATTTACATACATTCAGCTACTGTCAGAGCCCAAAATGAAAAAACATGGCAGATACCTTTGTGAAATCCCACCTAGCTATTTTTGGTATGCACCTGTACCTGAGCACTACAGTATACATTCTTTTTACATTTCTGGAATTCTAAACAGTTTCTACAGACCTGTTCTATTGGATGCCCTCTCCTGGTTGCAACTAAGAAACTAGTTTTGACATGAACAAACAAGCTATTAAAAATGCAGATAAGAAATGAACACACACCCAGCATGCTTTAAATGTCTGCCAAACTCAGTAGTAATTATATTGGGAGACATGCAATTTTATTCTCCAGATGGAATAATATCAACATGAATGAGAAAAAGGAAGGAAGCAGGGGAGGGAAGAGCATAATCAGCTAGCTTAATTTAATTTTAATGTAACTTTGATTTAATGAAAAAACTACATGTTGGCTTCAAGATGTACTCCATCGAATCAGCTACACATCCTATTTTACATATATTTTGGTGTCACTGTTATGAAATATAATAACAGTGAGCATATTAATAAGTAATAAAGTTAAACAAAAATTAAAATCCAATTCAATGATATATGCAAATATATAATGCACCACATTGCTGTACACATTTCAGTTTCTCTTTTCTCACCAAATCTATGTACAGTATTCCGTTGTTTAAAATGTCATTTCAATAGCACTGGAGCACAAGGTAATGGTCATAATATGGATATGAGAGTCAATTTTTGTGGCTTTTTAAAACTGAAGGTTTCACACTGAATGTTTATTGTAATGGAAGACAAACGCTGAAAACCTTAAAATATCAACAGAAATGTTTTCAACTATGCACTTGGACTACAGGCTTATTGCTCTCATGGCACAGTAAAAGAAATGAAACAAAGGGAAAATTAACATAAAACTCTTTGGGATCAGTAAGGTTTTTTTTCGGCCAAGAAAAAGAAGTCTTGAAATCTGTGCATTAAGTATATGAAATGGGCATCTGAGGTTGCCTTGACTGATAAATTTACTAGAAATACTTTATATATGGTACATGCTTTGCATGATACAGGTTGTCCAAGTTGAAAATGTACAAGACTGGGAACAGATTTTTCCCCCTTTCAATTAAGTATTTTTGGAAATTCATCAATTTCACAGCTCAGTTTGCAAGGCCTTTTATTATAATTGCTTTCAATTTCTATCAAGTAATACTTGTTTTATATAAACTTTAAAAAAAACTTCTCATTTTCAAATTGAATTGTTCAAGTGCTTCCATAATTATCCTTAATCATTAGAGCTGGATCGTTGTTTGCTGTTAGTACATCAGTTAAACATTTTAGAACATTTTATTTAATTTTCCTACATTTAAATTTGGTACTCCACAGCGAACAACACCATCCATCTATACTTTAATTCCATCACTGCAAAGCCCAAGAAACAAGGACTCTCTTACATAAAAAGTAGCACCTGCTTAGAGATAAGGCACCTACATTTTGCTCACTCTTCACATCTGCTGAAATACAAGTTAGCAAAAAGAGAAAACCCTTACACAAACTTCTTATATTTCAAAGGAGGTAGTGAAAGAGAATCTGCTGACATGTTAAATCCTTTCTGTAGTATCCAAAAGCCTTTCTCTTAAGAACAATTGTTGTAAAGAGACATTTGGCCCCTTGGAAATTCCCAAAGGGTCAACCATATGCATCGTTCCATGGCACCTTCATGGTGCTTGCTTCCTAGGCCCATGCTAGCTGTCTCAAAAGCAGCTTTCATCATTCAGTAGGGTGTCAGTCAATATGATTTATGGACTGCATTCAACGAAGTCAAAGCATATAGAATGAGAAATATGACTACAATCTCCTAATTTGTTTTGTATTGAGCCACTTAAGAGTCAAAGACCTGATGTCAGACTGAGACCAGCAACACAATTAACCAGTGGTGACAGATTCATCCATCCTTCTTACCAGGCTGTGCCAATCAAGGACAGCATGAGACGACATTTGGAAGAATTGGTAAGAAACTTCTTTCTCTAAGTAGCCTATGTGAGCTTCTGATTGACAGTTTTTGAATATAGCTTGTGGAGTGCCACCACCCGTTATCCAATAGTCCTTCACGGCAAGCTGTGAAATAAGGCTTTTACTGCCAATCACAGGAACAATAAAACACAATCTACAATCCCCAAGCAAACAGAGAGCAACAAGACATGTCTGCTAGCTCTGAAAGAGTAGGCTCATAATTAATTTAGCATTATTAAACCACAAACTGAAAGAACCTTTGTTTCAATATATTAAATCCAAAAAGTAATTCAAATATATATATTTAAGTATGTGATGTTATAGCACGTATTGTGAAGGAAAGACTTAAACATTAGTTTGATTCATATTGTCATCTTCTCATTAAAAATGCTAATAATCCACTAAATAGATGTTTACAACTGTAGTTAGTGATGACTGATCAAAACAGACTAACTCTCTTCTATAAAAAGGAATAATCAGAACAACATCCCAGTTCTAAGAAATAATAAAATGATTAAAATGCATAATACAATTGCATTGTAAAACAAGCATATAAGCAGGTTTTCAAGATCATGGTGCAGAATGGTTTATGAAAATTTTAAATCTTGAAAAAGCTTAATTATCAGACATTCTAACTTTCTTGGGAATAAAATGAGTTCATAATTTTTACAGATAAATTTCTGTTGTGAGGGAGGAATAATATCTTCCAACCATCAGAATATTCTGAGTATAAATAGTGTGAAATATTTGCTTTCTTATGGATCCGCCACCATTACAAAATGTTAAAGAGAAGAATCTATTGATGTTTATTTCTCAATAACTCCAACCTGAGAGCAAACACATATAACAAAAACCTTAGCAGAGTCAGAACTGGACTGTCAATGAAAGCTGGAAACAGCTTAGAAAGATAAGACCAACTTATTTGTCACAAAGCTAATTTTAACATTTAATAGAGGAAATAGATAAAATCACGAATACGTCTCTTTATGCTGGGATATATATTTCATCTGTAATACTGAACAAATTTTAAACAATTAGTGATAAAAAACAGACAGTAATTTAACTGTACCTCACAGAGTTTAAACCCTGGAAGAAACTAGGTACAAAAAATGAGTTGCTTGTATTTAATTAACATTTCTTTTATCAATAAATAAAGCACAACTAAATTATGATTGTACTACAATGAGATACAGCATCGCTTTATTTCTGGTGTAAATGTATTTGTTTTAGTTACTTCTATGGCTCTGATGTCAAGGGACGTGGTGGCGCTGTGGGCTAAACCATAGAAGCCTCTGTGCTGTAAGTTCTATAGATCTTCAGCTGTAAGATCGAATCCACGTGACGGAGTGAGCACCCGTCGCTTGTCCCAGCTCCTGCCAACCTAGCGGTTCGAAAGCATGTAAATGCAAGTAGATAAATAGGGACCACTTCAGTGGAAAGGTAACAGCGTTCCGTGTCTAAGTCGCACTGGCCATGTGACCATGGAAGACTGTCTTCGGACAAAACGCTGGCTCTATGGCTTGGAAACGGGGATGAGCACCGCCCCCTAGAGTCGAACATGACTGGATAAAAATTGTCAAGGGGAACCTTTACCTTTACCTGTGGTTCTGATGGCTTGGCATCACTGGTTAGGTACATTTTGTACCACAGGCCAGAAGCTTGCAGTATTTTAATGTTTTTTTTAAATAAAGAGTATATTTTAAGGTAATTGTTTTAGTAATTTTGAAGATTAATTTACCTATCTATTTATTTTCCTGGTTTCCTCCCTTAGAGGACAGAAGGTAGCTTTTAAAAAATTGCAACTGATAGCAACTACAGAGAAAGTGAGAGAGTTGAACTGCAAATGCAACTAACTGGCCAGAATGCTACTGGTGATCACATATGGTTTGCATAACTTACTGCAGCTAATGCAGCTAATTGATTAGATACCAGGAGTTGCAGGCCAGGTACCACACACAATTGTGCAACTGACATGAGCTCTAGCATTTCATCAACTAGTTGTAATTAGCTGTAGCAAGATATGCAAACAACAATGGAATTATTAGCATCATTTTTTAAAAAAAAACTTTCTAAACTCTGGTAGAGTGCATATGCACATGCAGTGTTTTGAGGCTATCTGAGCTGTATACTTTGAGAAAATGTTCAGATACTTTGGGAAGATAAAGCTCAGCTGCAATATCTGCTTAGTAATGCATATTCAGTAAGTAAACAGTGGGAAAAATAGCTGCAGTTAGTTCTTAGGGCTCTAGCTGTGCAATAAATGTCTGCAAAAGTAATCCACTGTGCAATAGATCATGAATACTTCAAGTCAAAGGGCTCTGTATGCCACCAATCAAATGATAGTGTGTTCCTTAAAAGATATTGTATCTTAAGTGGGGAAAATAGAACATAGTAAAATACACAAATAAAGACAACCCTAAGAAAAGTAAGGATCCTTATGCAGTTGATGCCACACAGAAACTCCATCATCTGATTTAACTGATCACTATGACCAATGAGGTTAGATGTTGGGATGACCAAGCATGGATTTTTCCATTCTTCAGTGTTACTGCCTCATTATCAACTATATCTTCAGTTATGCAAATGGATCTACATACTCAAGCAGATGATTTTGTGTAAGAACATCTTTTGTTTTCTGCAAGAAGTGTACAACATACATTGCTCTTCTTTCAGCAAACTGACAAAATTCAGAAACTACAAAGTAAGATAGGTTCATGTTTGCACAAACTACTATGCAGAAGTAGAACTAACAGTAGAACGAACTACAAGGTGCATCCATTTCTAAATAAATTAAGAGACTGTGCCATTTGATTTCTTGAATACCAGTTATATGTGATTACAAAACAATTTGTTTGGCTTAAGTTATATAAGGCTGCAAAGAAAAGCCATGTTATCAGTGTGTTCATTTTGAGAATTTAAAGGGGAACAACAAACTGTGGCACTCTTGAATGTTGGCTGCCACACAATAGGCATTTTTGGACTGTTTTGCTCTTTGTTGTTTTTAATTGTACACTAGCTATTAGTCAAAATTCTGTCTGTGTTGTCCATTCTTTTATATAGTTTGTATCCCAGTGTATCCACAACAATGTAGATTTTTTTTGCTGTTTTATGAGCTGGGGAACAATGGATGACAAAAAAGAAGAATGAGATGTAATTAATATTTTTGGTTGGTGTAATGCTTTAAAAACTAATCTGATTCAGATTTGATCTGTCATGGCACTTCCTTTTCTTTTTCTGTTGAAATATCAATACTGAGGAATACAGAAATATTGACATTAGAAGTGTCTGATTATTTTAAGGGAATGTTTTCCAATAGCAAGCTAATCTGTTTAAAAGTATAATGAAAATATTTGTTTTGAGATAAAATAAACTACTTTAAATATGCTGAAGACCTAAAAATAACTTTGAAACAAATCCTTTAAAGCAATCCATCATCTTTACAAAATACATCTGGATGCACACATTCTCTTCCATTCAAAAAGTATGCGTTTGAAAGAGACTAAAACTTTCACCAGCTCTTTATTCTCAGCCATTATCTGGCCATTTTAACCTTATTTTGTATGCACATCCCATAGCTGCATTTTGACACCTGACCTCAAATCCAAGAGGTCTTATGGTTCCCCATTGAATGATCTCATTTGAGATGCAATGCATGCCCTATCATGTTTCTGCAAGCCTTTAAAAGTTTACTTCTTCCCTGACATCCCAAAGACCGAGGTTAGACTTCAACTTGGATCCTGCATGCAACTACACAACTTTGTAGCAAATAAGATCAAACAAAATACAGGGCTTTGTAATAAGTCACTCAGTAATGAAGCAATAAGCCTGCAGGTAGTTCATAGTTTCAGTTTTCCATTTGCATGCTTTTTCTTAAGCTTACGTCTACTTACCGACATGGCTGCATGGTCATTGTTGTTATTCTGAGAAGGAAACCAGTAAGGCAATCAAAACAAGCGAACAAAAAATTAAATACACTGTCAATATCAAATTACATTTTGGTAAACGTAAGCGGGGGTGGGGTCTTAAGAAAATAAGCAACGGCTGCTAGTAAGCTTAGTTCAGTGGTCAGAAATAGCATCTGAGATTTAAAAGAATTTGATCTGCCTTGGTTACAGGTTTGGTAAAGTCAACATATCCTCCTGTTTGAGGCTGTAAAAGGAAACAGATACATAGGCACTAACTGATATTCTGACACACTGAGGAACTAATACAAAGCACAGTGCTAAGTGAAGAACTGAAGGGCAGGAACATATTCTGCATAAACAATATCTTCCAGCACCTCATCTGGAAAGATTTACTTAATGTTATTTGAAAAGATTTTGGATCATATTCAATTAGCATGATAATTTCAGAATTCTTTAGATGGATCCAAATCTCTGCAGATGGTATTCTGCTCATGCATGGGGGCTTTTAAGCTTCCAGCAGTAGACCTCTGTGCCCTCTGGAGTAGCACCCCATGGGGCATAAGAAGCAACCGCCAGAAGGATCCATCACCCTGTGGCTATGTGCATACAGAAGTGCTTTCTGCTCACACTTGGGGGAAGGGTTGCATCAGAACCATTTATCATCAATCTGTTACTTGGCTCTATTACTAAAAAAATACACTTAAAGGGTGATTTGTGGCTATTCAAGGACATAAAAATATGTACATCCATTTTCTATATTGAACTGCCAAATAAAAATGTTTATTTTCAGTGTAAATGCAAAATACTATCTTTTACTTCAAAAAACACAAATATTATTGCCATCAACTAGCAACATAGCTCAAAACAAACAAACAAATTTTCAGGGGAACAAAGCACATCCAGGAATCAGATGCAGCACTGCAGCGATGAGCAAAAGCTTTAAGCCATAGGAATAGTTGCCTTTCCAAGGAAATGTCAGGCAAAACCCCCCACCCAAAATAAGAAATAACAAAGACAAAATAAAATATAAAGAAGACAGAAACATTGTAGCACCTTAAAGACTAACTGCCATATTTTAGTGTGAGCTTCGTGGACAAGCCCGCTCTTCAGACCACTGAAAGTATCACGAAACAGCTTTAATGTTGGCTACAGATGTATTTTACAGAAGCTAAAAATAAAAAAAGAAACCTTGGTTCTTAAATTACAGAATACAATTATTCAGAGTTAAGTTTAGAAACCTTGCACCCTACTTTTCTTTATATTTGTCACTGTTCATATTATTTTCATACCTGAAGTGACACTTCCCTCCACATTTTTAAAACTATAGCAAGAGATGGAGAAGGAAGGTAAGACAATACATCCAAGGAAAGCTGTTTCAGGGTATATAGCAAAGCACAAACAAGGTCTAAAAACTATGTATTATTCTAAAAGAAATTGGTGTTTCTCAACATTTGATTGTTCTGATATGTACAGAAAAAAGAATGGTTTTTCATAGCAGATGTGTCATATAAGGGTGTATTTTATCTCCCTATCTATTTAGACTGTATACAGAAGGTATCATATGAATGCTGCATTAGATTCAGATGGAGAAGTGAAATTTATTGGACAAAATATCAACAATTTAAGTATGCAGTCAACACCATATAATTAGCAGAAAGCAGCAATGGCTTGAAATAACTCCTGAGGAAAGTAAAAGACAAAAGTGCAAAAGCAGAAGTAAGATTAAATATTGAGACAACAAAAATCAGGTCTTAAAAGAATTATATAATTTCAGTGTTGACAATGAAGAAATCGCAATTGTCAAAGATGTTCTATACCTTGGTTCAATCATCAAATCAAACAGAGACAGTCAAAATAGAAGACTGAGATGTGGAAGAACAACAATGAAGGAACCAGAAAAGCCCCTTAAGTGTAAGAATTTGTTACTAAAGAACAAGATGTAAATCATCTACACTATGGTATTTCCAATTACTATGTACAGTTATGAAAGCTGGATATTGAAGAAAGCTGAGAGGGGAAAAAATTCAGCTGAAATGTGATGTTCCAGGAGAGTTTTGTAGATATCATGGACCACAATAAAGACATATAAATGAGTGCTGGAGCAAATCAAGCCTGAAACCTCCCCGAATCAAAAATCAATAAACTGAGAATATCATACTTTGGGGACATTATAAGAAGACAAGATTTAATGAAAAAAGTTAATAATGCTGAAAAAAGTTGAAGACAACAGGTAAAGAGAAGATCAATAAAAGATGGACTGAAATAATAAAGAAGGCAAAAGCTGCACACGGCTGTTGATGACAGGACCCTTTAGAAGTCATTAATTCACAGAGTCTCCATCAAATGGAAGCAACAGAAAAGCAAGTTATCTTTAAAACTAACATGTTTAATTTTAGTACGGGTTTTTGTGGATTCCTAAATCACTAAAAATTTAGAATGCATTGTCTAAAAATAAAAATCCCTGGTTTTGCTGATGACCTTGTATACTAAAGATACAACCAGACACAAGTATTTTTTTAAAGTCTCTCTCTCTCTCTCTCTCACACACGTAACCAGACACAAGTATTTTTTTAAAGTCTTTCTCTCTCTCTCTCTCTCTCTCTCTCTCTCACACACACACACACACACACACACTCAAAGTATAGCATGACTCGTTGACTGATGAACACAGCTGAGGAAACCAGTTCTAGTTTATCTCCAAAGAACAATACATATTTTTCAAGATGCTTTCCCCCCTTTCTCCAACATTACCCAGCTTAAATAAACCAAGATAGTGTAGATGTATGAATAGCTGTATTTCTGTTTCAATTGCAGTTCTGATATGTAAAAGAAATTCTAGAGGTGACTATATATTCAGAAGACTTCTCAACTTTGCACCTGTTTCTAGCTGATGGCCCCTGGGGTGAAAAACCTACAGGGGACTGTACAAGCTTGACGTCTACTGTTCCTGACCTAAAATGGTGCTGTTCATTTTATCACTTGATTATGCTTCATATTAAGATTTATTCCAACGAATCCCCAGATGGAGTTGTTCCCCTACTCAGAGACAGAATTTTAATTCAAAAAAAGAAGATATGAAAAGTTGATAGGAACTCATTACAATTGATTTCTTCTAATCCAGTTCAGCACAGTGTGCTATAAGCACTAAACAAGAACTAGAAATTGTGCACAGCCAGTGCACAAACTACATCAAGCACAAATTACATCATGAGCCAAAAGCTCCAAAAATTACCCATTTTATTTATGGAGTACACTAGTGAAATTTAGTTTTTTTTAAAGGATCTCTATTCCTGATTATAAATAGAGATGAAATACTGAGATTTCAAGGAAATAATCATTAGATCAGTTTAAACTAACTAGGGAGAGAGAGTTTTAGTTCCAATTTTAGCACTATTTGAATCCTGTTCACTCAACAGTTTCTATAAAACATTCAACTACCACTTGCCATTGCCTATACTGCTATCTTTACTACTAGAGACCTTGCACAAAAGATGCAAACGGGCCATGGGTAAATATTTATCAGCATACACCTGGAAAAAGGAATAAACATACAACAACCTTTACTATGCATAGGACTTTAACAAACTAAATTGGTTTGCCATGTCTAGTAGATGCCATCTACAATTGTGGCAAGATAACAGACAAAAAGATTTGCATGGTGTTATATATTTAGAATGAACCTGAAATGTTTTCATAGCTTGTATTTTTCATCACAGTATTCTAAACTCTTTCATAACATATGTAAACAAGTTGTGCAAAGGGGAACAGACCATAGACACCAGACATATTTATTCTTGAAAAACTCCCATAAACAAGGTTTATTTTCAGCTAATGAAATGTAAACAAAGTCTAGCAGATGAAATGGTAATACTGTATTAAGAAATAACTAAAGACAAACAGGACGAACAACAACCAGAACATAACATTAACAATAGCAATATACTTGAAGCAAGGAAGTACTTAATCTGACAAAAACCAAATCCTATTCTGGATGTACATTTTTAATACAAAGTTTTAAATGACCCATCAAACCCCAGCACTGATGCAATTATTAGCATTTACACCATGTTTTCCCAAAACTGCACTAACATATAGTCGTGTTGTAAGAAGAGTAGCATATCATTTTTAAAATTAGAAATTTCAAATTGCTTTGGTAATCAATTTCAATTTTTAAAAGCAGTTTTAAAGTTTGTTATCATGTGCACTAGTTATTTTGAAACAAAATAGTTCACAATTGGGAGGACAATAGTACAATAAGGTTACTTTCCATGGACTAGCTGTAACTGTGAATAGTGCCTGAGACTGACTTGAAAGCAAGTGGCATAAACCTGGACCTCTCACATTTCATCAGGATTGGTTAAGGAGTACTCTTATCTATGGTCCAATGGAGATACAATATACTGTACTGGCTGAAATCCCATTGCTGTAAATTTACAATGCATAACCCAGATGACATCATCATCTGAAAATGGAAATTGTTGATTACATTAAAATTTTACCCTTCAGGCTCTGATGTTCTCTAGGAATCGCTTTTGCCCAGGGAAATTTATTGGGAGCCTCAGGATGTGGTGGGGAGAGTATTTTATATCATAAAATTGCTATTGGAGGTCTTGATATAACCCTGGGACCACTGCTGGTGATTTTCCAATATTAAAGCCCACTCTCCATCCTGAGGGATCCCAAAGTTTCCTGGAGAGCCTCAAGACCTAAAGGGTTTGTTTGTCTTTTTGGGCGGGGATTTTAATTTAATTAAATCAAATATTCCCATTACCAAACAGTGATGTCATCCAGTTTACATGATGCAAATGGATGCCAACAGGAAGTCAGCCCCTAATTCTTTTGCCACTACAGTATTAAGAAATTGGGAAAGGACAAGAAAGGTCCAAAATCCTTCATCTTTTAACTGTGGCATTGCATAGTATCAGTACTGATAGTATGATTAAGCAGAATGAGAATTCATTTAGAAAAAAAATTCAAGATCTAAATCTGATATGCAAATCCAGGATAAACTCTGAGTAATAACAATATAGAAATTGAGCATGAAAAGGACAGAGAAGTGTTTGTACAAATCTATGACTCATTCCTCACTTGTCAACCAAGTAAATATCACAGCAGCCTTGTTCAGATGCAATGCTAAATCATGGTATAACATCAGGAAAACCAATCACAGACAGCATAAAGATCATACTTTCCTTTCCCATCTACAAAACTCTAAAAAATTAGAAGATGGGGTAAGAGCTCACTGAATCTCACTTTCATAATGCCAAAGGTATGGTTTAGCGTTATCCTTGAATAAAGTTAATGTCCACATAAAGTCTACACATCTGCTCCAACATGTCATGATCTAGGTAGATCAGATACACAACAGGACTGGATCTTTTCCTCACTGCATCTGTCAACATATCTTTAGTGTTCATGAAAAAAGAGAATCTGCAGTTGCTTGCATTTTCTATACTTACAGGCAAGTGAGTAAAAACCTGAAAGGTGCTTCTTAAGAAGTTAATAAGATCCATTAAATAGCCACTGGCTCTCCCATCTGGCTCTCCCATTGTCCAGTCATAATCAGCAAGCTGAATAAATTCATCAATCTTTTGGTTAAGTTTGGTATAAATCTCCCCTTCAGCAGCATGTCTTGCATCCTGAAAAAATATATAGTATAAGTTTCCTTGAAAGGTGATAAATCAAGAGAGCGGACATGGTACAAAAAAAGGGGGAAATACATATCTATTTTAGTCTAAATTGTAGTATATCAACAAAAAAGCTAACCACCAACAATAAAATAAACAAATTTGAATCACAAAGGGATGTTGATACTTTGCCTTGTTTTTGCAGTGCAAGATTTGAATATATAGCATGCATCTTAAAACTTCATGAAATACTAGTTGGTCTTAAATTGCACAGTTTCAAACTATCTGAAGTGTATAAAACTAGACTTATAAGAATACAATTCCCATTCATTATTAATTATATGTTTGCCAAGCTTTCTAAATTATTATTATTATTATGAGTAAAGGACCACTGGCAGGGCTTCCATCATCAGAATGCTTCCTTATTAATATGTATCTAGCAAGAGAAAACAACAATGATTTGATATCTGAAGAAAATATCTGCCCTATAACTTTATCCAAGACCTTTAAAAATATATTTTATAAATTGCTAATTCTGATTGTATCCACGTCTAGCTTAATTGTCCTGGATGCATTAAGGAGCTGGTGTGTATTAGAGATGTGGATGCTTCACAGCTAATCTCTTCCATGAATTTTGGAATACCCCAGAAACTGAAGAACTTTAGAAATTAATTCTAGATTTAAAGGGATGACTTATCACAGTAGTCTGCCATTTAGTCCTAAAGTTTACATGAGAATATGGAAATGTTAAACTGGGGAAATTAAATAAAAGAAAGACAAATTACATGAAGATATTGGATAGGCTCCTAAAACTGTAATCTTATACATACTTATGCTTACCTACTTGCAAAGTAAGTCTTACTGACTCTGATTGCACTTATTCCTTGGTAAGTGTATATAGGATTGTAGCTTGATATAATATGCCTCTACATAACATAATGAACTGCAGGATAACTCAGTTGATGAAATGTACTAAGCTTTCCATAACAAGGTGCGTATGGATTAATAAAAAAAGGATTTTCCACGACAAGTAAAGGATATGTGTTGGTGCAATTCTCAGGGGTAAAAATAATAAGTTTAAGTAATATAGAGAGCAGGAGGAAGGAAGACTCTACAAAGGATATGGTATGCCCTTATAACCTGGTTGGCTTTGTCTGCAATTAATTTTGGATTTTTCCCCCCAGGAGCTTAGACACCACAAATGACAGTCACAGCATGACCCTACAGATAGATAATGTGTATATAGTTCGATATGGAGGATCTCATTAAACCTAAGAAGTACAAGGAACATACTATCCAATTTCTTTTGTGTTGGCTTAACTTTTTTTCAACCTAGGTTCTATTTAACTCCAAATGGGGAAAAAAGATTAAGCCAATGTCAAAAAATCCCAGCCATCACATTCCTTACAACTCTGTTTTCAAGATATTGTATTCTGTACATACATAAAGCATAACAAAACAGAGGAAATGAAGATATCTTTTACTTGATGAAGGAGATGAGAAAATTGCTACAGTTTATTTAATGTACACAACTGTTTCAGCCTTACAACATTCATTTAAAAAACAATTTGGTCTTTTGCCCTCAAAAATTCCACCTATATATAGCAGGAATACACAGCAGTTAGCAAACAGCTGTAGAATGTGTAGCTTCCCAGTCCTTGATGGATTTTGGTTCCCAGCATTCCCTCAGCATTGGCTATGTTGGCTAAGGTTGATGAGAGTTAAAATCCAACAATTTCTGGAAAAGTCACATTTTTCAAAGCAAAACTGTTGACATAAAAATATTGAACAGGTAGGGCAAGGATAAGTAGAAGAATTCACATGTACTAGCCGAAATCCAGTAACACAGTTATGCCATGCAAGTCTGATAATGTCATTAGCTGCAGTTGTATTTTGGTAATTAATAGTTTCCTATACTTGCTCCCACCACGAAGGTTCCAAGAATCTCTTAGGATCCCTTTGATCCTGGGGAAATTATTTATTTATTTTATTAGATTTATACCCCGCCCATCTAGACAGATAGTCTACTCTGGGTGTCATTTTGCCATAATCTGGGCGGAAGCATCTTAAATGTCTCAAAATTGCATTGCCAATCTTCATCATTATTCACCAATCTTGTGCTTTTAAAAAAAAAACAATTCTGCTCAACAAAATAAATTCTATATTCTTTTAGCTCACTTACCAGCTCCTGAATTTCTGGCCAATGCATGTTACATACTGCAATTTTTTTCAGAGTGGAAGAGGAGCAAATGCATTTAGAAATACTAGATTGGATCAAGCTTTCCATGGACAGAAGGCCTCTGGTGAGCTTAACTTTCAAGGACCCTGCACTACAGTTCACATTATCTAGCCAGGTCCCGGGCCCTTGGTAAAGCATCTTGCCAGCTGCCACAAACATATCAGTTACTGGAAGCATGCATGACCATTACTTTCCTAAATTTGGACTCAACCCAATCATCTTTTTTCATCTGGAGCTTTTCAAGAAAATGTTTCCACAACACAGTGCTCTCCCCTCTGAAGCCTATTCAATCTTGACAGTAGTTTATACTTTTCCTTTTACACAAATGTTGGGCACCTACTGACCATGGCTTGGTTCTTACCTATTGGATTATGGATTTCTAGACATAATTTCATCTTGTTGAATTATTTAAAGTTTCAAATTTTTTATATTTATTTTACTGTGTGTACAATGTCCTGAGATTCTAGATAAAGAGCGGGATATACATATTTTAATAAACAAATCTAATTGAACCATTTTCCCTACTATGGGCATGAAATGCACATTCGTCTAGTTATAAAGTAACAGTGGCAAAAATACTCAGATATTTGTATTAACTTTTCCCAAGGTTGTAAATACAGAAGAATATCAAAGTGCTCTTTGAGCATTCCTTTATTCTTTCTATGCCATCGCTTAACCTTGAGGAGAGTGATTAATGGTAGAATTTTATACCATACTTAGTTTTTAGACTTGGTTATAAAATAAAAATACTGAAGACAAAACTATCCTAAGAAGGTACTGTATAATCCTCTTTAGTTTGTCAGCCTGTGAAATCGTCTCCAGCTCACGTATATACACAATACAGTAATTATTTGAAACTCAAGATTTTTCAATTACGCAAGTGAGTCACACCTGTTTTGTATGTTTTTACTTATATTACGAAACATTCCAGATTTTTAGGACAGGCTAAAACCTAGGCTATGGTTTGTATGATCATTCCACTTTTTAAAAAAATTAAATTGCTAAATACAAATTCTTTGTCGTATTGGAATTATTAACACTAAAATCTAATACGAAATGGTGTAAGAGTCAAGATGTGATATGGACTATGGGGAGAAGGATATCAACTGTTTCAAACAGAAATAAATAAAATATTCCTTTATATAAAAAGCTTCACACAGAATCTTAATTGCAATCTTATGCACACTTCATTGTTGACTAAACCCTACAGGACACGAGATTCTTGAAAATAAATAAAAATACCTAGAAGAAGAGAACTTGGAGCTATGTAATGTCTAGTTTGCAATCTCGAGAATTTACATGTGATATTTCTGTCATTTGAATTTGGAGCAATTCGTAATCGTTTTGTTTTGTGCAAAATGCCAACACACATACGTAAGACAGATTTTCATACCAATTTAAATATTTATCTGTTCAAGCCCACCTTACTCTGCGGCTTCTTTCTGGAATTGCTTTGAAGGCCAGGAAGGAAAAGATTTTTGGTCACACAGATCATTTCTTTTCAAACAATGCCTAATGGACATGTTTCCATCCAAAATCCTCCAGACTGCTGCACATAATTTTAACTCCTTTCAGCACTGCTGACACTAATGCTTTGAGGAAGTTTTTTCTGCACACAATGAATCAGAGACTTCAAGTCCAACTGTATAACTACATATGCAGGCTTCAAACAGCCAGTGGAGAGGAGATGAGTGGTCATTAATGCAAGGCATATACTGCAGTACAACAATTCCAGCCAGGGTTTATATTATGACTGGTAGCAAACCAGCCAATAGTGGGTGAGTCCACAACTCTCCCACTTCTCCCCACCAATTATTTACAAATTTCTTTCCCCTTGCTAACTTTTTTTAACATACAGGTATGAGTGCTCGCACAGACATTTGCATGCATACACATCCTAAAAACCCCTTTTTTGTACACACATCCTCTGCTGTCAGAGGAGAGGTGGTTGCTCTAACCCACCTTGCTTTATGGAGTCTCTCTCTCCACAAGATTCTTAGACATAATTACACCATCTCCAATCACTCTAAACAGCTGTATTGATATGCACTCTTTTATAAATACTATTTCATAAATACTATTTTTATGAGAAAGCATGAAAAACAGCTGCAAAAGATGTATTATGGTTTCATTTTCAGTAACAGTCTTGAGAGAGCTACCTGGCTATCTAGCAGGCCAGAGGAACAAAAGTTTGTTTTAAATTCATAATGAAGAAAGGTACAGGAAGGGAAGAGTGGAGAAGGGATTGAGATGCGGGCTAGGGTGTCTGTCGGCTGTAGCAAACCCCATGATGACTCCAATACAACCTCAGAGACACAGGCTAAAGGCTACAGCCAGACATACTGTAAAATAATAATAGTTTCTTCTTGTGTTTTTCATCTGTAACCTTCACAATGCCATGACTTTGCTAATAAAAAAAGCCACCAACATGTATAATCAAGTTCAAGAAATGTGTAGGTGTGACTTTGAAGATGTTGGCAGAAAAATATTCCAGTTTTGCCTCCTCCAAATATGATCTAATCAGTATGCATAATACATAGCTCATCATGGATTAACTTTAATAAGATAATGCCATTTTAAATTACATCAACATTCTGAAAGTGATGACATCTAAACTCATCATACCATTTATCCAAAAATAAGACCTAATGTGAAAATAAGCCCTAGTATGATTTTTCAGGATGCATGTAATATAAGCCCTATACCAAAAACAAGCCCCAGTTAAGTGAAACCCCACCCTCCACCATTGTGCAGCAACCAGAAGACATGACTATATTTGAATAAATGTAGACTGTTGTACATGAAAAAAATAAAACATTCCTTGAAAATAAACCCTAATGTGGGTTTTTAGTTTGTTTGTTTGTTTGTTTTTTGAGCAAAAATTAATGTAAGACCCTGTCTTATTTTGGGGAAACACAGTATATCTGGGTTCATTTCACCTACTTCAGAATTCATCTAAGTATTAAACATTCATTTTACACATTTGAAACTGTCCCCATGAAGTCTGCATAGTGTTTCATAATGTTTTAGTGCAATTTCCTTATGTTTTCGTAACTTATATCGCAAAAAAGATGTCATCTCACATACCTTAAATGTTGAAAGACCATAGAGTCTTGCAGTATGAAGAGTCTCTTGAGAAATATTTGTAATATTAGTTATAAAATCCTCAAGATATTTGCATGCTTGTTCCAAATGTGTTGTATTTATGATAATTTGCACCAGCTTTAACAGACAAAAATAAAAAACTTTGATAAATTACATTTACAGTACAATCAAAATTTACTTGTATTAAAAGAACAGCTATGACTATTTTATGTACAATGAACACAATAACACGCTTAATAGCAAGTGCTAACATATACAAAAGCTTTTTCCGAAAGCTACCAAGTTTAACACACTGAAAATGTTCTGTTCCTGGGGAATCTTTTCCACATCAATTTAATTAATGAAGAACACCTATGAGAGCACTACAAAACATGTGCCTATTGTAGAGAATGTTGCATTCTGTAATGCTTTGCACATTCCTATGAGGGTGACAGCAAATGACTGGGCTCCCATTAGGCACAGTGAGGTAGATGTCTTAAGCAACAGGCTTTGGATGTCACAAAAAGGCACCAAGTTACTCATTTGTTAGTGCTGCATTTTTATTCTCAGAGGTGGAGAGCACTGAGTGTGAGATTTTCTACTTCATCTGCCAAAATATACTTGTTTGGATTTGTGCACTTAGCACCTTGACATTGGGCAAGGTGGGGTGGGGAAAGAGAGACAATTTGCTGCTCTGTCTTAACTGAAAGAATATCATGGGCTGGCCTTGGGGACAGTTACCCTCCTGCGTGAACTGACTGTACACTGTAGAATCTATCCAGCACTCTTCCAATAACTATATATAGGAGACATTGTCTTTCAAAAAAGTTTGCCAATCATTACTAATCTTCTCATAGAGACACATCTGGAAAACCTTCATGGCTCCCAGGAACACAATCTGAAAATAACTAAACCACACACAACAATACACAAAGCTAGAATATACGGCTCTATACTTACCTCTGTCAAACCTATGTGAGGCTTTTTGATGAGGTTTTGTAAACAACTGCTTAATGTTCTAGTCAGTAGCAAATTTGTCGATTTTCTAAGCATGTCATCTATCTCTGTTGAACTGAAAAACACAATTTACAACAAATGATTTAAAGTGAGACTAAACCTACAATTTAATATGCAGTCCTCGACACTTCTCCACCCTTATACTCATAAACATAAAAGTTAAATTTGGCTGTTTCACTAGCACAACATGCTCCAATCTGGGCACCCTCAAACAGCTGGAAAGACCATTTTAGGAACCCGGTTATAGTTTGCTACAGTGATTCTTAACACAAATAACAGAAGTTGTAGCACAGGCAGTTAGGGAATATAATGCAGTTGACTGCCAAAATTCAGCAGCAAACCACTTAGTCTATAAAGGAACCTCAGTAAAACTATAAACAAACTTCCTTACTACCCTCTTCCCAGGTGTATCTTCAGTACTTTTCTTCCTTAAACAATTGTTGATTACATAGGATTAAGCCTTTTATTATTTAAGAGCTTTAGCTTTAAATGTTAATTAAGAAGCTTAAGAGAGGAAGACTATTAACCAGCAATTCATTGGTTCCAAGGGAGCTATCTTAGTAAAGTACTTAAACACAGACAGAAAAGAGTGAATTAATTCTATTTAATGCAATATTACTCATCAGCTTGAAAGAGTAAATCTGATTTTTACAGGATAAACAACTATATTATGGGGAAGATTTTAAATGTCAATATATTGGGTGCTGAAACATTATAATATATATTTAAAAAGTAAGCTGACAAGCAACAAAAAAGAAAATTAGCTAATTAGTTATTTTGGTCACATGTGTATCTTTTTAGCCATGTTCTCTTTGGAGTGCAGGCCACGAGTAGCTTGCCAATCTGAAAAATAGCACTTCACCTCAAAACTGCCCGCCCCTGATGTAACCCAAGGATGACGAAAACATGGTTGATTTAAATGAGGGCTTGTCGGGCGCAATCAGAATTGGAGGTGATATAATGGGATGCAGCTTGTGATAGTTCCAGAAGAAAAAACTGGCTCTAGATGGTCAAAGTTGTGCACTCCTGACACTACCCACTTTGACTGGCATGCTTCTTAAGAGTCTCAAGTCAGATATCATTCACTTTACTTGCTGTATGATCCTTTACATAAAATGAGTTGCCAAATGCCAATGATCAAATATGGGACCTTCTGCATACATGTATGCACTCAGCTACTTAGCTATTATCCTGCCTTCTGTAACTGATATTATTATTTTTTCTTCCCTTTCAACTTGCAGATTGTTTCTTCGCTGTTTTGGAATTACAGAGTGTCACAATGGCAATTCTGAAGTGACTTTTCTAGGTTCTTCCTATCAGACCATCTGCTTTTCATTGTCACCAGTATGACATAAATTAATGAAATTTATAATACACTGCTGCATGTGAAGTGTTTTAAAAAAAGGCAACAGGCAAAACTGTGAACTCTAGCAGAAATTCAAAACAACATGATTTGTTCAATAAATGGAAGAGAGAAATTCAAAATGATACCCACAAAATAAGGGTAATGTTAACAAATTGGAGGGTGTGCAAGGCCAGTAAAAAAGTACTTTCCAAACTAAGCTTATTCTCTCAGTGGACAACTGTTGCTCTAAATAAAGATGGCCTAGGCCAGTGACAATGAACCTTTTTGGACCCGAGTGTCCAAACTGGGGGGAAAAAAATATACAGTGGTGCCTTGCATTACGACGTTAATTTGTTCCAGTGAAATCACTGTAGAACGAAAACGCCGTAATGCGAAATAAAAAAGCCCATAGAAACGCATTAAAACCCGATTAATGCGTTCCTATGGGCTTGAAACTCACTGTCCAGCGAAGTTCCTCCACAGCGCGGCCATTTTCGCTGCCATGCAGCGAGGAATCTGTCCCAGAAAAGAGCGGGGAGCCATTTTTTTTAACCAGGTGGTCACTTTGAAACCGCCGGTCAGCTGGCCAAAAATCGTCGTTTTGCGAGAATCGGTTCCCGAAGCAGGGAACCGATCATCGCAAAGCGAAATTCCCCAATAGGAAACATCGTTTTGCAATAGCAAAAAGTTTGCCGTAATGCGATTTCGTTGTTAAACAGCGCGCTCATCTTGCGAGGCACCACTGTACTCACTGAAACGTGAGGCGGTGTACTCGCTTCAGTGATACACTGTAAGTGCAATGATACAAAGGAGAACAACAAATGAGGAAAAATAAGGTATCTCATCCACAAGATCCAAAAAATCAAAGGGAAATTTAATCCTAAATTAGGAATGCTTAAACACCAACAAGGGAACATTCTATCTAACCAGGATAAAATATAGAAAAGATGGAAACAATGTACTGAAGAACTATACAAAAGAGATAAAAGGATGGTAGATTTCTTTGAATAGTGAAGTATGTGATAAAGAAGTGCAATTTAGGAAGAGAAGTGAAAGCTGTTCTCAAACCATGTGGAAGAGTACATGAGATACCGATAGAGATTGCATCTGCCAAAATATGCCTCCAAATATGGAAAACAAAACAACAGCCCAAAAATTGGAAATATTCAATATACATTCCAATCCCTAAGATAGTAGATGCCAAAGAGTGCAATTAGTATAGGATCACTGTTTAATTTCCTACACAAGCAACGTGATTCTCAAGGTGCTGCCACAAAGACTTGCATCATATATAGTGGGAGAAATGCCTAATGTTCAGTTTGTGGTCTGAAAAATAAGAGACACTAGAGATGATTTCACAAATATATGTTGGCTACTGAAGCTTATCGAAGAATTTCAGAAGAAGATAAGTCTATGCTTTATAGCAGTGGGTCCTAACCTTTGTGAGACCAGGGACCAGTTTAGTTGAAGACCATTCTCCCAAGGACTGGGGGGCAGGCATGGCGGGCATCTGTGCATGTATGTGTGCAGGAGCGGGCATGCGTCTGGAGGTGTGTGTATGTGGGGGGTGCATACGTGCATGCAGGAGGCATGAGTGCGTCCATGCGTGCGTGTGGGGCTGTATGTGTGCGAGGGTGCAGGAGTGCACGTGCGAGCACACACGAGTTACTTCTGCCCTCAAAAATATGTTTCGGCAGCCCGGTCCTTCCAAGGCCACAGACCGGGACAGGTAGACAGCCCGGGAGTTGGGGACCCCCGCTTTATACATAGCAAGGCCTTTCACTGTGCAGAAAATGAGAAGATATAGATTGTTCTAAAAGAAATGGGTGTGTTTCGACATTGGATTGCCCTGATACATGACTTAAGCTTTGAACCAAATGCTACTGTTAGGATGGAATAGGGAGAAACAGAGTGGTTTCCAATGAGCAAAGGTGTCCAACAAGGGTGCACTTTATTTCCCTATCTGTTCAATTTGTATACAAAATATATAGAAAGCTGGATTAGATTCAGGAAAAAGCAACACTGAAAACTGGTGGAAGAAACATCAATAATGTAAGATATGCATATAATACCATCTTACTGGCAGAAAGCAGCAATATGTGAAATGAAAGTGAAATGAATTGCAGAAGTGGAACTGTAGTTAAGCATTGCGAAGACAAACATCATGACTATAGAAGAACTACGTAACTTTAATGCTAATGACAAAGAATTTGAAATTTTGAAAGAGTTTATATACCTTGGTTTAATTATGAAGACTGTAGTAAGAAATCAGATTTGCAAGAGCACTTATGAAGTTACTGGAAAAGACCATTATGTGTAAGGACATGTCCCCGAGACCAAGGCCAAGACAATCCAAACTATTGTACACTTGATTACTACGTATGTACAGTAACTGACAAAACTGAGGGTGTCTTACTGTGGGTACATCAAGAAAAGACGAAACTTGCTGGAAAAGACACTAGGAAAAACTGAAGACCATAGGAAAAGAAGACGACCAAATATGAAATGGACTGACTCCATAAAAGACCCAAAGTCTTGAATTTGCGGGAGTTGAGAAGGGCTGTTAATAATAGTACATTTTGGAGATCACATATGCATAGGGTTGCCATATGTTAGAGGCAGCTTGACAGCATACAACTACAAATGCATATATACACATGATTATGTAGCACATTTCCTGATGCTCACTATAAGAAGAAGCAAGCTGTAGGCAATATAATTGGCCTTGGTAGCTATATTGTTAACATCCCTTTATATCAGGAAAGGACACCAAGTTAAACCTTAGGGAAGACTATGATTCAGATTAGACAGGCTTCTCATCCAAGCCTTCTTCATTACACCATCTCTATCAGTGTCTTCACCCAAGCTAACATTTTGCAAATAATATGACAGCATTTAATATATGCATTGGCTTGATTTCAACTAAATCAGTTAAATAGTGAAATGTGGGGACAGTTATTTACATGATAAACTAGTTCTTGTTTACAGATGGAGACCAAGAAGCCTTATTAGTTCAGTATGTGCGAAAAGAGCAATTTACAATTGTCAACAGTGCACACAGCTTGATGACAAACTGGAAATAGCTTCCAGATTCAGCCAGCAAAATAAAAGGATGCATTTCAACCAAACAAAGCAATGTTTACTAAACTGGCTGAAATGGAGGACTTTAAACACAACTGTATAAAGTTTCCTTTCTCATCATTTAGTAGAAATTGGATTTATTGTTATTTTGAATGGCTTTAAAAACAGAACTATAATGTTGAGAAAGGAGAAAAAGCAAACGTGCTGAACAAGTTTATAACCTATGAATACATTCAAGACAAATCCATAGTTTCACAAATAGTAGTTAAGCAAGAAGAGAGCTCAGATTCTGTCCTGGTTTTTAAAAAAACATCATGGAAACAGAAAAGAAATGCATGCAACTTCTAACAGAAGTTAGACAACAACAGAATGGGCCACTGCAATAATAAATGGGTCTTTCCTTGAGGGCAGGTTTCCCTCTGCCCTCAAGGAGACACTCATTAGGCCATAAGAAAGAAACCTAATTTGGCGGCGGACGAAATTGGCAATTATAGGCCCGTCGCCAATATTTCTTTCATGAGCAAAGTAGTCGAGAGGGTGGTGGCTGACCAGCTTCAAGCACATCTGGATGAAACAGATGCCCTGGATCCTTTTCAGTCAGGCTTCAGGCCATGCCACGGTACAGAGACGGCATTGGTCGCCCTGTACGATGACTTGTTGAGGGAGGCCGACAGTGGTAAAATTTCTTTGTTGGTCCTCCTCGACATCTCAGCGGCCTTCGATACTGTCAACCACGGTATCCTCCTGGGGAGGCTCCCTGAGTTGGGTATCGGTGGATTGGCTCTAGTCTGGCTCCGTTCCTTCTTGGAGGACCGACCCCAGAGAGTGCAGCTTGGGGAGAGTATTTCGGCCCCATGGAGTCTCAATTGTGGGGTTCCACAGGGGTCGATCATCTCCCCAATGCTGTTTAACATCTATATGAGGCCGCTGGGTGGGGTTATCGGGGATGTGGAGCATCGTGCCATCAATATGCTGATGACACCCAGCTCTATATTTCCTTTTCACCAACTGCAGGTGATGCCGTCCTGTCCCTCCAGCACTGCCTGGGGGCCGCTACAGCAGTGGATGCAGGAGAACGGGCTGAGG